TGCACACACTTGTCTTTCAAACACAAAGAACCCTTGAACGATCCAACCTGCAAACAGTTTCCAGATTCATGGATCTGAGCACCAGACACTGTCTCCATGATATTCTTCGACAGCTCTTTGATCAGATCAACATCTTCTGATTCTTCACCCTTAGCTTTAACAGGACAACAATAAGCCAAAGAGACCACATGGTTTTTCTCATGTAACACCTCAGAGACTTCATCTTGGTGAACGATCTTCGCCTTTTTGCTCTTTTCTACTACCAAAACCCCGTCCGAGGTTCTTTGGTCTGTAACGCGGAGGTGAGTGGAGTTTGAGAATCTGAAATTGGGACTGGAGCAGCTTTTAAGGAAGGTATCAGAAGCGGTTGCTTTTATAAAAATTGTCGAAGAGACTGAAACCGTTTCGCCATTGGCAGGTACGAAACAGGGGATGTCAAGCTCTGAGGTTATCTTATCCTTGAGAGACATCATACTGGGTTTTTCGCCGTGTACGAGTACAACGTTCTTTGGTGAAAGAAACTTTGTTAGATCCATTATTCCTTTTGCATCTGTGTGAGGACTGAAAGCCACTTGGTGTATCTGATAACAACAAAACCAAAGACTTTTAAGTTTATTTATAAAGATTACAATTTTCATTTTTGAGAATCAGAAGAAAGAGTATACAAACCTTGCAACGGACATCAACCTTGGTGCCATTATAGAGATCAACCGTTGTGGGTTTACCAGACATCAGTTTGTGCCCAACGGTGCCAGCCACAGAGTATCTGTATAAAACGGATCCACGACGAGGAAGAAAGGAGATACAATTGTGTGTTAGATGCTAAGAAAAAGCGAAAGGTTTAGAAAGGGGAAGGAAATAAGTTTAATACCCGGGCAAGGCAACGAGATTCAAAGGAGAAGGAGCCCAATGCTTGAACACTTCAAGAGAGAATCCGGCGCAAAGCATGCCGGGTGTGGCAAAGAGAACACATGGCCCAGGAGCATGTATAAGAGATCGATCGAAATCTTTAACTGCAAAATTACAAAGCAACATTGATCACTTATCGAACCACTAGTTTAAAAAGTTTTGTTATATTTCAACCACTGCAAAGTTTCAGTTCCTTTTGAATAAAATGTGTGTTTCAATGTTCCAAGTTAAATCCAAAGGTTAGTCAGCATACCGTTCTTAAAATCAAATGGGTTATGTGTAGCGTGCTTCTCTTTAACGTTCTGGCTTGTCCAACTGATGAGCATTTTGTAATACATATTTGCTTGAATGGTCAAACCTGGAAAACATACAAGCTGATCATCAGGGACAGAAATTTCAGAAGATAGATATTGCGACTTAACAAAGATACTCCGGAATTTGCTGGTCTGAAAAATCCGCAGAATTTATTTCAATGATTTTTAGAGCTTTCACAAACCTGATGAGAAGTATATTGGAACTTTTATATTCATGCGCTCCCAGTAATCATCGAGCAGCATGCAGAGTTCCTGAAAAAGGAGCATGATTGTCATCAATGAGACATAAGAGAAGCACAAAACAAGTTTAAGTAACTGATTTTTTGTAAGAAAGGAATAAAGCAAATGAAGAAGAAGACCTGAGCCCTTCCAAGAGCAAAAGAAGGAATCAGTGCTTTCCCTCCGCCAGCAACACATTTATGAACCTGGAAGATATTTTCTGAAATATCAGACCAATTACAACCCGAAAGCTTAAGACTTTCCCCAAACAGGTGGGTAAGTATATTGACGAGGGAACAAGACAACAATGATATCATCAAGTAGACATACAGCTTGAAGAAACTCTCTTTCCCGGGGATATTTTGAGCCACGAACGGTAGTTGCGTATGTGGACCTAAAATGCAAAGTCAAACATACATCAAGTATAAGTTTACAAAGGAATACTCATAAACAAAAAAACAAGTGAACGAGTTTGTATTTGTTTTCCATACTCTGATATGAGAAGATCCAACTGGAGCCTATCGATTTTAGCTGCTCCCAGATGTCTATCTGTAGTCATATTGTAATCTCCGGTGTACACAATCGCTGCATCTCCCACCTTTGCATAAACCATCACTGCTCCAATAACCTATCATCATCATTACAAAAGAAGCTTTAAGATGTACAGAAACTGTAAATATAACAAACTTAGGTAGAAGTCCAAAGTAGCTCTCTAAAACCACAATGAGTGTCTTACATGCCCTGCATAATAGGCACGGATTTGAAGATCTTGATCAACTTGAATTGTTTGCTTCAAATCCAACGCGATTACTACAACAACGCAAGAAAAAAAAAAGGAAGGTCAAGTTATAGACACTGGATCTGAAATTATGAAGTAAGACACACATTAATCAATCAGATGAGAAACTAGATCATGAACATGATCCAATATTCAAGTTACCTTTTTTCATACAGTTAGCGATATGGGCAGTGGTAAATAACTCCTCCTCGCCTCTTCGATCCACCATCACTCTCCGGTAATCCTCAAGCATTAATGGAGACAACGCCTTTGTGGGATACTACAAAAGAAACAAATCAGATTAAAACAACCTCTACATAAAAAAATTAGACTCACTCAAACATTTCATCGAACACCTTGAGTACGATATAACTCACCGACATATAAATCGGCCCATTGTACCCACAAACCTCCGTGAAGTAAGGAAGCGCTCCAACATGATCCATATGACTACATAACTCGACAAAAACATACACAATTAGAACTCAAACGATCCCACAGAAACCAAGAAAATGACTTTTTTTTTTAAAAGGGACAAGTATTGAGCTTTTAGATGAATACAAGTGAGTGATGATGATACAAGAGAGCTCGTTATCGAAATCACCGGTTTTAGAGAGGAGAGAAAAATCTGGGTATCGATTGTGATCATCGCAGCCCATATGCATCCCACAATCGAACATTATCTTTTTACCATTAATCGTCACCACTACGCAGCTCTTACCTATCTCTTGCCCAGCACCTGAAAACACCACCACAAAGTACATTCATACTCTGTTACCGAAAAATCGAGAAACTTT